TAAATAAATTCCAAGAAGCTTGGGGGTGGGGAGGAATTGCATTGGTATTTGTTTTAAATCGAATGCTTGTTTTTTTACAGACATGTATTTTTAGTGATATGCCCTGTCTATTCATATATAATACGTGTAATAATATCCTGAATACAATCATGAGCGCAATAATTTGAGTATCTTTTATACTCCAGGAAATGCAGCTATTTTCAGTTAATGGCTCTATATGTGTTGGTTTTCCTGCTTTCTTTTCCCAGAGGTAAAGGGGGAAGGGATGCTGTCTTTTTTAAATTTGTTGCTGAAATCAGTCTAAAGAAAGTTGAGCTGAACTCAGGGTAATATATTGAGCAGCCCCTTGACAGCTAAAGGTCAGGTGAAAGTCTCCAGCAGGTAAGTCTCGGGCCAACTGCCTGCCCAGAGCTCGCTCCCTGGCTCACAAATTGTTCCCTTCTGCCCACCCAAGTCGATTCAAGCTGTGTTTATTTAGGGGGCAAAAAAATTGCCGACCACCCAATTCCCATCCAGCCGGTGACCTACAAGCTCTGGCCTTTGCAGGCAGAAGTGGCTGAGACATGCATTTGTTCTTTTGCACAAAACTAAAGACGACAAGTTGCAAAATAAAGAGCCCCCTACATGTCTGATTTGGGAAGAAGACCAGAGCGTAAACACGCAACATTTTATTCTTGCTCTCCCCACTACTCTCCGGGAAAAACTCTCCTCAGGCTGTAGGAAAATCCAGAGAGGGCTGCTGCACAAGGAGCTCCCTGCAGCGATGCGCAGGAGCTGAAAGAAAGGGACACGCATTGAGCGTGTGCCTGGGCCCTGCCTGGACTGCTTTTTCTCTGCAACATTGCAGACGAGCTGCAGCCCTAGGAAACTTTAAACTGGCGTGCGGGCCGCCCACGGAACTCGGGTCTCGTTTTCTCAGCAGCAGTAAGTGTGTTCGGCATAGTTAACCCGCTTTCAGTCCAGAGGAAAATGAGCTGGAGGAGATCTCGCCTTCCTGGCAGGGACAAACTAACGTTTGTAGTCATTGTTACAGTGACTAAAGCAAGAATTGGAACTAGCCTCCCTGGGTTGGAATAGCAGTGTCTCACTCCCAAAACGCTGGGATGAAGCTGTGGGAGACACCTCCCCAGAGCCTGGACATATGTGTATGGGCATCTGTGCATCACTCACCCCAGCACGTTATACATACAGTTAGAATTCCAGCTGCCCTCAGTCTCCCATAATATGCTCAATATGCCAGCAAATTTAAAGTCAGTCAGGGAAAACGTCAAGTAAACAAATTATATATAATATATAATACAAAACAGAAGGTCTCCTCCCAGCAACTAATAGAATGTCTGGAAATAAATGTAACAAAAGAAAGAATGCTTCGTGCCCGCCTTTTTGTTTTCAGTAAGGCGGATATGGTCCATTTTCTTCAATTTTACACTCCTAATCTCTTTTTCTAGTGTTTGTCGTTTCAATCTTTCTTTAACAAAAACAAAAAAACAACACCCCATAACTGGACCGTCAGCTCCACTGATTTTTCGTGGACTGGGAGTGCTGAACTCGGTGAGCCTATGCTGCGGGGCTGTGCAATAATATACCCCCTTAAACCTCTCCCTCCACTAGCGCCCCCACCCCAATTATTTCTAATCGGTTGGGCCGAATTCTGATTTCCGTTTACACCGGCATGACACTGAAGGAAAACTCGGCCCAGCAGCTGAAGCGGCCTTTGTCAAATGGATCAGACAACTATTAAATCGGAACCCAGCACAACTGGCCCGTGTTCACACCAGGACAGCTCATACAAAATTATGTTAATGATTAAAGGAAAACAATGGTGGGAGGGCGTGGAGGGTTGGATTTTTTTTTTTAAACAAAACAAAAACCGAGCAGTGTCTCCACTAGCAAGCCAAGAGAGCTTAACACTCACATAATGATTTGTGTAGGGTTTTGTTTTGTCCAGCGAGCCATTTTAAAACATAAATTATAAGACTGTTTTTCTCCTTTGTATCAATCACTGAACTCTTCTTCACCGATCACTGGTAAACCCCAATCCAGTTTTCTGTCCCCACAAATTGTCACGGTTTGGATCATTAGGACTTATTTTCCCACGCGATTAGTACACTTTTAACACAGCCAGACTTTCTTGTACTAGAGAATTGCAAGCTCCTACACTTCCTCACCCTTTTGGACCCCACGGAATAAAGGAATCACCCGAGTAAAGATGGGTAAGAGCGGGCTCAGAGGCGCTAAAACCCAAAGAGCTGGGATTTAAAACTCCCAGGCCTAGTCGTCCACCCCTCCCCCACCCATCTAGCGATTGTTTGATTAAATTAGACTCCACTCGATAAAAACAATCGCTCATTAGCTCTTCCCTCCTCCTCCTCCACCTCCACCTCCGGTGTGTTGTGAAATGGTGACATCCTCTCCCTTGACCTCCGTCTCCTTTTCTGCCTTTCCATCCCCCTGAAAAATGATGCCGCAAACTCTGATTGAATTTTATTCCTTCCTGACCTGGCCGGCTTTTATGGTACGAGACACCATCAATCGCGACCTAACGCGACGTTTGTTTATGACTTTGGAAAGAGGAGAATGGCTTTATGAGCCTGATCATAATTAAACCTGGAGGGACAAAATTCATCCCACCACCGCGCTACCTTTGTGCACAGTTGCCCGCACATTAAAACGCTCCTGAGCTCGAGCCTCTGCAAAACACACACAGAGCTGGTGTAAACGGCAAGAGGGCGCGGACATTTGGAAGAGATAAAAATGATCGAGGAAGATTCTCGGATAGCACAGAAAATGGTCCTATTCCACTACATCTGTTACTCCATCCAGGAAAAAGGTGAGCGGTCGCATTATGCTTTTGAATATATAGCTAGATCTTGTTTAGCAGGTTTCTCGCGCCCGCCCTGATAAAGCCATATCTTGCTACCATCCATCCATCCCTCTCACACACATACACTTAAATATATGCTTCAAGCACCTACCAAGAATCGCAAAATGTATTTGACCCACTTATTTTATTAATGAACTCGTCTTAAAAATGAGAATTTTTTTAAAAAAGAGAACTGGACTGAATAGTAAAGAGAACAAAAATGAACCAGCTAAAATAATGGGGACATTTTAAACGAGAAGTTCCTCCTTCTAAAATTCAGTGAAATCTGGATAAACTTGGAGGGCACGCTATGACTCAATACACTGTCATTGGAGCAAGTATTTCTAAAAGTCATGTAAGCGCTCTGTGTACACACTCACACATACCTGTGACACATATATTGATTCCTATTCAATGCATAACTAGCCTTCAGGTGTACGTGATAAGTCACCAGTTCGGAACACTACCCTCCCCCCCCCCCCATATCCTAATACTAAGTGCCTGGTTACGTTAAAAATCTTTGCCACAAAACATGGGCCAGTGTTAGAACGTGTAACTGGAAACACAAAATAATTGAAGCCTTGGGGTGGCTTTCCATAAACAACGTTCGCTTAATTCAGCGTTAGCGTTTGGGGGTGGGGTGGGGGGAGGGAAGAGAGAACAAAGGAAAAGAGATTGTTGTTGGAACTAAAAAGGATTTGAATAAGATGTAAAGCACAAGGGTTACTAATAACATGCGAAGATTATGATGTTGAAGTCCACATATGGAAAAAAATATTCTCAAGCTTCCTTTGAAATGTATTTTTTCTGAACTTCGCGAGTAATCAGTAAAGCCTTGAGATCATGTTAACAAATATATTGCATTCTGAACAAAAAATCTACCGTCCACTTTAGTTTTATTCTTACCTGGCATGTGAGGATAAATAAATGTAAATATGTTCAACAAGGTTTTTAAATTATTTAAATGCGCCATTTCTCTATGTGAAAAATATACAAACTTTTTTTAAAAAAAAGATAAGAGGGAAATTATCTAGGAAAGGAGCATTTTCCCTTTCTATTTAATGCAATTTAAAATTAATTTTGGCTTAGTTTAACTGCTGAATTAGGAAATAATCATATTCAATCAGCTAAAATACAATATTATCTAGGGTCAAAAACAAGCACAATTTTTTTCCCGAGAGAAAAGCAAGTAGTGAACAGTGTTTTCCAATTTAGTTTTAACTTAAAAATACTGACACAAACGTTGAGCTAACCATTTACCTACTCAACCCCACTGAAGTTAAGGCAGATACCCGGGATGTATGGCAGAGCAGAATGTGGCCCACTCTGTTTGAAGGATAACACCACAGATGCAAGGGGTTCACAGATGCATCTTTCATCTGCTTCACTGGCTCCAGTTCCTTGCAAATTCATTACAGGGTTTGATACTCTACTTGAGCTTGTGTCAGACCGATCGCTACTGGGTGGTTATCGTGTATAATAATGTATGGTTTGCTTTTCCTATTTCTCACGGGCGGCGGGGGGGGGGGGAGAGAAGAAATAATCTATTATTGGTTGAATAAACGTCAAGGGTGATCGCTTGTTCTGAGCTGGGCTCCATCTCTGAACTGCTGGAAGTTTATGTCCTAAAGGCAAAACGTTTGCCTACAAGGAGGGAAACGCAGCAAACTGAACAGAAGAACCCGTCAACATTTGCCAGAGTCCAAAAACTTTCCTAACAAAGACTCCCAATCGTCTCTGAGCCTTTTAGCTTTTACTAGCAGCAACGTATCACAGGCCAAAAAGCAACTTTTTCTTCTCTGCCTCCTTCCCATCGTTATTCTGAACGTTAGGTTGAAAGTTGTATCAGAACAGCTGATCAACAGTAGGAGAGCACCTAATTATATTACCTAGCTGCCTATCCAGGTAACCTTCGCCAAGTTGCCCTGAGTCACTGTCTACCAGGGAGACTCTAAGCACCCACTAATATTATTTACATTCTCATTTTCCGCCTTTAAACATAGTGTGGCTAGCAAAGGCACCTCTTCCTTCCTAAACGGCATGAGGGCGAGCCATTTGCCTTAACGTTGTAGTAACACTGCCAGCGCCTTGTATTTATTACAACTGCGCGCGTGCACACACAAATCAATGGAAATACCTGATTGAGATGTTTTCATTTGCTACCATCTAATGCACAGTCACGTCACGCAGCCCCAAAGGAGCAGCACCGAATAAACGTCTGAAACATCAGCTCCTGGTTTTTTCCTGTTTAAGCGAAGAAGGGCTGCTAGGAACACAACGAAGCAAAGTCCAACTATCTGTGAGGCGTGAAGAATGAAATGTCTCTGATCCTTCTACCTGTGGCTGGGTTCCTCAGCCCACGTGTCTCTTCACAACAAAAGAAGGCGGCAATTGATGAGTAAATAATTAACAACAACAGCCTGGACCAGCTCACAGAAGCCAGCAACGCCAATTTTCAGAGAGACAATGAGAGAAAGAGCATAGCCCTGTTCACCAGGCGTTGGTGCTTAGCCACTCACGGGGCATGCGGGTCGTCTCTGTTAGAGCCCCTGGGCTGCTTTGACAGTAGGAGTAATTATCCTACGCTTGTTCAAACTGCCCCTCCGACTAACCCCGCTCGCAATCCAATGGGTGATTAAACAGTCAAAGCTAACTCTGGTTTGCTGTGCTGTTTATACCCCCCCCCCCTTTTTTTATTTTTGCAGACCGCTGAGACAACAACTGAAGATTTTGCAACCTAGTTTTAACCAACTAAAACAATCACAAGCAACAGAGTCTAACAGACAAATGGCACAGGCAATTATCTCGGTACAGCCTATAATTAAGTTAATTAAATGGAAAAAGTCAAAGAAATTACCATACAGACAGCTCCATGGTAAACACAGTTTTGCTGCTGCCATGCTTCTGATCTGCCTTTAAAACAGAAAGAGCTGAAAAGCTAGAGTGGAAATATCCCTCCGTTTCTAAGTAAGTCAAAGAATCTTTTCCTCCAGGGAATGATCTCATTCTGGTCAGCCTAGGCTACAAATATAAAAACATTTATGTCACGAAATAATCGGCACCTGTTTAAAGCCTGGGGGTGCTTAAAAATCAAGCTATTCCTATCTAAAAATTAGTAAACGTAACTTTCTCAGTAATAAAGTTAACAAGCCTAGGAATTTTGCTATGCAACCTTTTGTATCACTTCTGAGGGGAAAAATACTTGGTTGTTGCTGTGCTTTACAATAAACAAAACCTTGTTATCTCAATTTCATCTTTATCTGCAAACTATATTGCGTAAATATATACACAATAGCTATTTAGAGCGGGGGAGGGGGGAGAAAGCGTGTAGGAAGTTATATTAAATATATTCCAAACCCCTGTTCTGTGAAAAAAAAAATCGAACCGTTTATTCGAGCTGAACATAAAATGTTCTAAATTTTAGGTGATTGCTTTGGAGAGGCGACCCAGAAGCCACATAAGATTTTACTGAAATTACCTTGCATTTATTTACAGTGTAATCCTTAACAATGCAACAGCAATTACTGCTAAGTGTTGCCTTTTGATAAGAACGGCTGATAGGAAACTGTATTATCTAAAGCAAACTTTAGGCCCTAAATATCTGTAATCAAATAATTGACTTCCAAAATCTGACTGACAGGGCGGCTCATTCTAAGCTAATGAATTTATTACATTTTCTTAGTTATTTACAAAGAGAGAAGGTGATCCTGATTGCCCCTACGAACTAATTGTAAATTGACCAGAAGGCGAAATTCTTTATCTGACAAGGCATCACTCTCTGGAACAGTCATCTACCCTGGTATTTTCTTCTGAATTAAGAAAGAAAGAAATGGGGGGTGGGAAAGAAAAAAATACGTAAGAACAACTCTCCCATACAAAGTCCTCCTAAAATGATTTTATTCAGAAGAGCAGTTAGTTATTTCCAACAAAGCAGCAACGTTCTTAAAAAAAAAAAAAAAAAAAAGTCACAGCTTTGGGCTGAGGTTGGCAGGGAAGGGAAGAGTTGTTGGTGTTTTTTAAATAACTGGTTCATTTTATAAGACAAAGGATTAAAAACTGTACTTTTAAAATGTATATTACATAACCTGCTTAATATGTGTGTATATATAATTATTAATTCTATAGAGCACAGATCTTTTATATGCTTTCATTACATTTAGAGATATATTATAGAATGTCTCCTATATAAAATCTGTACTATGTCGATTAGATACGTGTGTGATATATACAGACATATTACACACACACATATATATATACACACACAGAACCCAGAGGGAAAATTGCATATCTAGGAGAAAGAAAAGGAGGACTTGTGGCACCTTAGAGACTACCAAATTTATTTGAGCATAAGCTTCCGTGGGCTTCAGCTCACTTCATCGGCTGCATTCATTCATCCGATGAAGTGAGCTGTAGCTCACGAAAGCTTATGCTCAAATAAACTGGTTAGTCTCTAAGGTGCCACAAGTCCTCCTTTTCTTTTTAGGAATACAGACTAACAGGGCTGCTATCTGAAACCTGTCATATATAGGAGACAGTATTTAAGATATCCCTATAAGCAATATAAGCATATATTAAATATGGAACGTTGTAATACTATTGTGTATGGTCAAATATATCCCAGGTCCTGTCTAATCAATGCTAAGAAAATGTGTTGGTTTATTTGCCAAGCTACAGCTGCCCTGGGGAAGTATTTTCTTTTCCTAGCGAATAAAGCAAGCTGACTAAGTGGAACATATTGCAGAAGAGAGCGAAAAAGGCCGACCTGGCAGTTTCTAAGCGGTCGTTGGGATTTGTGCGGAGGGGAACGAGTTGTTCCATCGCCAATGTTAGCCATGAAGTCTTTTCATTTAAAAAAAAAATGTATGAAAGTATCCAGACGTGTAAGGTATTCCAATTGAATGGTAATTTATTAATAAACAAACAATGCAATACCTCAGAATATTTTCAGGAAAAAAATCGATAGAATAAGATTAATACAGTTTCCCTTTTTATATATAATGAAAAAAAATCAACGTTTCAGGCACTTTTAATGTCCGTTTTCGGGGGGAAAACACTTTCTGGCGTTTGGTCCACAACATCCACCTACACATTAAAAATAAATTACTATATCGCAATTTACATTTTAAAACAAGTCCTTGGGGGGCGGGGGAAGCTTGTAATCTATACTGCATATTTTGTCCTCTTTTAAACACAGGGCATAATAATAATACCTTATGAGATGGGGGAGTGGGTGGGGAGGGAGTATTTCTCAAAAGCAATAAAAAAACTTACGTGTTATTTGGAGTAACACTGTCCTTTTAACAAACCAAGGCATGACTTATTTTTATTTTATTTTTTTTGGCTGTCTCTGTACAAACTATGTGAGAGTTCACTGGGGTGCTCGCTGCTTGCAGGAGGCGGCTTGGTTTGTTAAAGAAAAGATCTAGTCCTTGCTTGAAGTTTGGCCTTTTCTCTGTATTGTTCGGGGGGGGAGGCTGTCCGCCGGGCCTGGTTTTGGTCAGAACTTGCTGCAGTCATACACGAAAGCCCCTGAGGTGCGGTAGAGAGACTGGCCGGAGGGAAAGGCCATCTGACAGCTGCTGCTATTCCCGTTCACCGGCGAGTTGTTCAAGCCCAGCCGCTGGGACTCGAACATCTCCCGCACCGCGTGGAAGTTCTGCTGCGGGGCGGGGTAGCCGGCGGCGCTGGCCAAGTGGCCCAGGTCTCCCGCCGCCGTGGCTTGGTTTAGGTACCAGGAGGCCAGGCGCCCTTGGTGCGCGGCGGGGTGCGCGTGGTGCCCCTCCTGGTGGCCGGCCGCCGTGCTCAAGCTGCCGTGGCCCAGCGAGGAGGCGCTGCTGTTGCTGGGCATGGCGTAGTCGGGCAGGGGGTCCTCCACCGGGCTGGCCCCGCTGCTGGCCAGGTGGCCGGCCCGCTCGCCTCCCCCAGCGGCGGCGGCCGCGGCGTACAGGCTCATGGCTTGCATGTTGCAGTGGTAGGTCCCCCCGCCCGCGGCCCCGCTGCCCGGGTTGGCGCCCTGGCTGCAGGGCGAGCTGTAGAGAGAGCTCTGGCCCGGGGAGTAGCTGCCGAGGGCCACCGAGGGGGGGATGCCGGTCCGGGACGAGGCGGCCGAGGCGGAGGAGGCGGCGAGGAGGCTGGAGCTGAGCTCGGGGGCGCCCTGGGGCGAGCCCCGCAGGGAGGTCATGATGTTGTCCACGCTGAAGCCTTGGCTGTGGTGCGGCTGCGGCGGCTGGTGCTGGGGGTCGGGCGCCTCCAGGCTGAGCGAGCGGCTGGAGGGGAGGCTGCTGTGGGGGCTGCTGCCGCTGGACAGGCTGCTGCTGCTGTCCGGGCTCTCGATCTTGGGCACGGCGCTGGTGAGGGCCGCCGCTCCCCCGCCGGGAGGCGAGACGGCCTGCGGGGGAGAGGCGGTGCCGTTCTCGGTCTTAATGTCCTGGATGCGGACCGGCGGCGGCGGCTGCGAGCCGGCCCCGCTCCCCGCCGCGCCCCCGGCCCCGCCGCTCTCCTGCTCGGCCTGCGGGTGCTGCCGGGGCTGGGGCTGCTCCTTGAGGTGCAGCCGGTCCTTCTCCTCCTTGTCCTTGACGGCGTCTTTCTTCTTGAAGCGCCGCCTCCGCCGCAGGAAGCTGCCGTTCTCGAACATGTTGTAGGAGTCCGGGTCCAGCGTCCAGTAGCTGCCCTTGCCGGGCTTCTTGTCGTCCCGGGGCACCTTGACGAAGCACTCGTTGAGCGAGAGGTTGTGGCGGATGCTGTTCTGCCAGCCCTGCTTGTTGTCCCGGTAGAAGGGGAAGCGCTCCATGATGAACTGGTAGATCCCGTTCAGGGTGATCTTCTTGTCCGGCGCGTTCTGGATGGCCATGGTGATGAGGGCGATGTAGCTGTAGGGGGGCTTCACCATATCCTTGGGCTGCGGCTGCGGGGTGTAGGGTCCGTAGGCTCTGGCCATGCCGGCCGGGTACTGCTCGTGGGCCGGGTGCGAATACATGCTCATCGGGGCCGGCATGGCGGTGTAGCCCCCTCCCGCAGCGGCCCGGTAATAGCTCTGCTCCCCGCCGAGGTAAGGCACGACTCCCAGGGAGTTGGGACTGGACACCGAGTAGCGAGCCTGCATGTCCTCCCGTCAGGTTCCCGCACCCTCCCCGCCGGACCAAACAACTTTCCCTCCCTCCCTCCCCCCCCCGGCCCCTCCAGACCGAGGTCCTGCCGGCGATCAGTCACCCCCCGGCCTCGCACACAAGCGGAGGGGGGGGGAAGCCGCCTCTTCTTCGGCCTGTAAAAGGCACCCGCAAAAGCCCCGCACTCCACACCAGTGCTTGCCGCGGAGAAAGCCACTTCCAATGCCAAAATAAACGCCCTGGGCCGAGCGGCTCCCACACGCCCAGCGCCTGGCTCCACCGGGATCGGCAACACGTTGTCTCTGCCCAGGAGGGGACAAAAGTGGTGGTTTCTTTCTAAGGGGAATTTACAAATATCCACCTTCCCGGTCTCCCGATGTCAACTCTTTTGGGGGGTGGTTCTTTCTTTTTTTTTTTTTTTTCAGTCTCTTTTTCGGTCGCGGGCAGCTTTGGGAAGCATTGGAAAAACTTCTGAACTTTTGAGCATCCGTCACCAAGGCGAGGACTTTTTTACGCACTTACTGTTTTTTTTCCTCCTCCGGCGGCGGAGCTCCGCCCTGCCGAGGCCGGGCGGCCAATGAGAAGGGAGAGCCGGGCTCGGAACGGGGGGAAGCGCGGGGGGGACCCTGGAGCCGCAGCAGCAGCCCCGAGAGTTCCAGCTCTGGGACTGGCCACACACACTGGCCCACGCTCTCCCCCACACGCAAGTACCTATCGCTCTCCACGCCTGCCACAGCCTTTCTCCCTCTCCCATGCGCAGAGCAGAGATCGGCTGTCCACGTACACCGGCCTGCCCATACACACGTTACACACACACATTCCTGTTACAGGCCGTGCGTTCATACCTATATATTTCTGTCAACACATTTGCCTAGTCCTATACGCAGATGCGCTCTCCCGGAGGACGCAGCTTTTCACATACACCTAAATACAGACGATTCCGCTGCACGCCCGCTCACCCGCCTCTGCTCCGATAGACACCGCTCTATGTTCCCCGCCTCTCCAACACCCTTCCTCGCCTTCGCACACATTCACCTTCTTCAGATCTATCTGTATACAGGCAACTTCCACACGTGTGCACGTGCTCAGAGCTCACTTTCTGCTCCCCGGGGCGAAGGAAGGTCGGTGTCACCCGCCCACCCCCATCTTCCCACCAGGCAGGGTAAATGGGAGAAGGGGGAGGGAGAAAGGGGAAGCGAGAGAGACCCACTCCTCACCAGCACCAGCCTCCTTACAGGCAGCTGCCTGAGCACGCGTTTCTGAGGGGATTCCATTCGACAAGCTTTTGACGAGTCCTGCAAAGCTCCTTTTTATTAATCGGCCACGAAGGGCTTTCCTCTGTCAGGCTGCAAAGCAAGCGCCGGCTGCCTGTGCTGTTTATAAACACAGACAGATGTCTTTGTACGTGCCTTTAACCGGCTTGTTCAGGTAACCTGCTGGGGTCTGATAGGCTAAGCCCCCCTTTTGCTAGAGAGAGAGAGAGAGAGCTCGAACGAGCATACTTTTGTACGAAAGCCATTGCAGCCCGCGGAATCAGTGGCATGACAGGTGCGTTGTTGACAAGAGAAAAATAGGTGTGTTCAAAATTGTTTAACGGTTTGACTATCAGGACTTAATTTCTGCTAAGACCGACTCTCTTTAAATGGCTGAAAGAATACTTGTGCTGTAAAGAAATGTTTGGATTGACATTTTAAAGTGGATTTAAGGCTGAGCTGCGGGAAACAAGGAGGGTCATTTTTCTTACTTTTGAACATCGTTAATGGAAATGACTAGTGTCTGCGGGTTGAACAGTGACAGCGGTTAAAGATGCTGATTGGACTGAAATCCAGCCCTTCACCCCCTTTTTTTAGCCTGCTGCTTTCTACCTCTGCACTCCCATTGCAGTTAACAGTGGGTCAGTTGATAGAACAAGCTGAAGTGCAGACGTTTGGGAACTTGTGAAGGAAAAATGGTCTTGAGTACATGTGGTTTGTGGGAGATGAGTTTCACACTCCCCTGGGTTTGTGACAAACTCTCACGCTGAAGATGAGTCACAAGACCCTTTTGGCTCCACTGATTTCAAACCCCCTTTCCTCAATTTATATAGTGATTGATTGCGCTCCAAACCACAACAGGTAGAAGAGACGTGACGGTGTTAAGGGAACGTGATTTGCTTGGTAGTATTTCAAGTCAAGCCTTTTCCCTCGAATCATTAATCAATTTAAAACAAGTGATGGAAAACGGCGAGAAAGTTGATATGTTCTAACCTTTCCTCCATTTCCTACTCAGATGTAATTGTTCTAGTTTTGTAATAAAAATAAGTCCTTCAATGGTGACTATATTATTCAGTTTTACCTGTTGCGTTTGATCTTCTGGAATCCTTTCACCTGCTCCTGTCCAATTCTACATTTCCCCCAAATACTGACGAATTAATCGTCTCAGTGGCACTGACCTAGGCATTAGTTTCGATGTAGTTTCGACATTTTGTGTCTTCAAAATCTCTCACTTGCTTTACTAGAAAGAACAGCATTTTAACGCATATCGATAGAACCCAGGTCACCCAGCGTTTCCCACGATCTTACCTGCAGTTAAAACGATTTCCAAGTATTTCACATTCATTCCCACTAATCACTGTACTGTTCTGTTCAAAAAGCCTATCTTTCGGTGACTTATAAATGTAACGGGATACGGTGTAGGTTTAATGCTCATGATTCTGAAGTTAGATTATTAATTATTCTTTATTATTTTATTGGGATTATTTAATCCCAGTTGTATTGCATCTAATATATTTTGCAATAGCTACGCTCTTACATTACTGTGCAGTGATGCAATAACTAATGTGTGTTAAATTACACATCTGAAAGCAGCAGCAGCACTGTGGTTCTCTACTTTAGGTACAAAAACTGCCATTGTGAAACTAGTAACTGGCACGCGCAAACAGTTTTAGGAAAAACAAAGTTTTATAGAAGCAGAAAGATCAGTTTTCTGACTGGTTTAATTTTGGATACAATCCAGGAAAAGTAATTTGTGTTTGTGTTTTACATACTTAAGTGCGGGACAGGAATGAATTTCAGATGTCTTGTTTGTTTATTTATTGTCGTACCCACCATGGCCTCTGGATGAAAGAGTAACATTTTGGGGTGTGTTTTTGGTGTGGGACTGAAACGAAATCGGCAACTATTCAACGTCCTTTTTAAAGCTGTGGAAAGGGCAGTCAAGCCATTGTGGGGGCGTTTGTTGCATTTACTCTTAACCTTATTTATTTAGATGATCGAAAGATAATATCAATAGCAACACGGTGAAGGAGTAACATTTAAAGTGGGTAAAGCCAACAGGTGGATCCAAACAATTTGCTGAAGGGTTTCCTCTCCGCTCAAAGACCTAGAGACGTTTTTCAGACTGAGGCTATTTATGTTTATACCTACTCAGAGCTTCACCTCTCTCTCTCTCTCGGTTTTAACATCACTGCAGTATCCCTGCCATTCACACCTCTATCTCCCTACCCAATCCCGGCTCCTTGAATCTCAGGGTAAGGATTTCCATGTTTCCCAAACCGAAGTGCAGGTCATTTGGAGTGAACTGAACTATATGCTTTCAGGTGAAAATATACCCTGGCTCAGCAGCTGAAAACCTATTGTCCCAATTAAACCTGCTCAAATCGATCTATGTTGCAGCTAAGAATAGGTAATTTCCTATCTATATTGTGATTATTACAAATACATTATTTCTGACCTTTGCGCAAAAAATTAACGCAAGAGAACTCCAGAGGAAGTCTGTTTTAATGGCAAAGTAATCAAATTTAATGAGATAATATGCTCATTTTATTGCCTGTTGTAACTGTGTAGCTCGATAGTTTTTGAATCCAGGGAAAACTTTGTAGTTTATCATCTGAATTAAATAATAATGAAAAACCTCTTGCATCATTTGGCTTTCTATTCCAGTTGAAGAAAAAGTGAATTTTCATTTTAGCTTGATAGACAGTAATTGGTGATTTATTTCACAAACGGAATAACTTGCATTTTAAATCTACAAAGTATATACAATTAACAATCTACAAAGAAAAATCGAGACCCTACATTGTTTTGCAAACGGTGCTTCCCATCTTTCCACAAGAATTGTCTTGGCAAAATATTACTTGGTTTTCTATAAAAATATTGTTCTTTGAAGAATAGTTTGCGACTGAATGATGACATGAATAGATCATTAAAACACATACAATGCCTATGGGTTCCAGGATTTTTATTTAATTATTTATTTGGCTATTAAAATGCAAGTCTAATAACTTCAAAAATGCAACTTCCTAGGGGAAATAATAACCCAGTGCGTTTTCTAACCCTGGCATCTGCAAAGTGCTAATATCTGCGGGAAGATCTCCTAAAAAGATGAGAAATATCCAGGTCTGAATTTATCTCCTATTTTTCTTCAAGGTCCATCCCCTGTCTCTTTTGTATTCCCTTTCCTTCCTTGCTAATTTCCTTTCTCTGTCTCTCAGAAGCTCTAGGGAGAGGCAGAAAAGGTGGAGGGGGGCTGAATCCATTGGGATCTCCAGCATCCCGTAGCTGAACACACGCGCGGACACTGCTGCTCTCCTCCCCGTATTGCGGGAAGGGGATGGGGAAGGGAGAGACTTATTTGTTTCCAGTGATTTATTTACGTGAGACTGAAGCGACAGTTCCTCGCTGGTGAAGTCTGGGAGTGATAGGTGTTTAGCAAGTCAGTGGATAACAGGCAGGCAGTTCAGTGGTAGGCTACCAAAGAAAGCTTGCAGTCAGTCTCTGATTATAATAGTCAGTGAGTTTTTACACACACACACACACACACACACACACACACACACACACGTTGGGAAGCTAATACTGACTGATTTGTTTTAAAGCACCCCTGCTTCAGTGAGTCAAGCCAAAGCAGGCAGGTCCCTCTTAGAGTTATTTGTTGGGGAAGTTGGACGCTCCTCACAAGCATTTGCAAATTCACAACCTGCGGAAGGGATGCTGCCAAGTGCCCCTCCTAGGGGATTAGTCATTGAGACCAGCGTCTCGGAAAGTAAACCGAGATGGAAGCAGTAAGTTCAGATGTTATCGCCTGGCAGAAAGATACACTGAGGCTTTACGCTGGGTGTTCCTTTCCTGTGGCTACTTCAAGCAGCTCCTACAAATCCATCTGCTTTTTTACACGAGTCCAGTTCCCATTTCTGAACTGATTACAGTCCCATCTCTTTATGCCTTTCACCAGAGGCGTCCAGGGCACACATCCTGTCGCTACGGTTACCTCCCTCGGGCGATGATGTCCCGTTTCCTGCACGTGGCTTGGGGCTGGACTTGCTGCCTATGCAGCCGCCCAGCGGGCTGGGAGCCTCTGGGTCTCCAGGGCGCCCGCTCTGCTCTTTTTTTCCCAGCTGGCGACCACCTGTGCGGTTGGTTCAGGCGCTTCTTGTGGCTGGAGCGCCCCCTGATGGGCCCGGTTAGACGCATGAGCACGGCCGTCTTCCCTCCAGCTCCACCTACAGGATCCGCTGTCCCCCCATTCCCGTGTTTGCCGGCGATTCCTCGCTCCCGGAGGAGCAGCAAGTGGCAGTAAAGTCAGGATTTAAGCAATGTCGCTGAGCAGGCGCCTCAGTGAGCTATGAGATCCCCAACCCCTCCAGGCTCCCTATGACCGGCCTCCCCCTGGGCTCGTAGCTGGCCATTCCTCCCTACTCTTTTGCAGGGGGGCCGGTGCCAGGATATGAGGGAAGACAAAGTGAGTGAGGTTATAAGTAATATCTTGTATTGGACCAACTGCTGTTGGTGAGAGAGAGAAGCTTTGAGCTCCACAGAGCTGAAGACGAGCTCTGTGTAAATCCAACACACTTGCCTCGCTCACCAACGGTTGGATAAACTATGTTACTTCCTGCACCTTCTCTCTCATTCTTCCCTAGTTTCAGAGTAGCAGCCCTGTTAGTCTGTATCTGCAAAAAGAACAGGAGGACTTGTGGCACCTTAGAGACTAACAAATTTATTTGATTCTCAGCGCTCCCTGCAACAAACACATAGGCACACTCACCTCCTGCCAACATCCCAACACCCCACACTAGCCTACACTTCCTTCCCAGCCTGGACACTGCCCCCATAAACACACACCAGCCAACATAACTATATTGACACAAAATATATATCACCTCCTCAACCAAAACACACCATCCTGCCTACCCATGTCCAAATTCCCTTGCACACTTATCATCCTCCAACACTGGCAAGGAATTCCCCAGACCAACTGTCTTACACCAACCAAATACCCCATCAACCAATTGCTCCCCCACTTCAACGTCCTCCAGGCATACCCAAACCCAGCAAACAGCAGACAACCCAGCCTCTCCACTCATTAATTCATTACAGCACTTGCCCTCCAACATCCACCCATCGATGACACCCACACCCTTCTCCCCACCCCAAAGAGGAAAAAAAAATCCTTAGGCCAGTCTCTTTTTTTGTTGAGAACCTTGAATTTTAGCCAAAAGGCACAGACTTCCTGAAACAACTCTAGTTATTAAAAGTGAACACTACAGGAAGGCAAGGCCATTATTTTCTAGG